TGGATTAAAGACTTAAATGTAAAACCTAAAACATAAAACCCTAGAAGAAAACCTAGGCAATACCATTCGGGACACAGGCATGGACAAAGACTTCACAACTAAAACACCAAAAGCAATGGCAACAAAAGCCAAAATTGACAAATGGGTTCTAATTAAACTAAAGAGCTTCTGCACAGCAAAAGAAACTATCATAAGAGTGAACAGGCAACCTACAGAATGGGAGAAAATCTTTGCAATCTACCTGTCTGACAAAGGGCTAATATCCAGAATCTACAAAGAACTCAAACAAATTTACAAGAAAAAAAAACCGCATCAAAAAGTGGGCGAAGGGTATGAAAGACATTTCTCCAAAGAAGACATTTATGCAGCCAACAAACATGAAAAAAAAGCTCATCATCACTGGTCATTAGAGAAGTGCAAATCATAACCACAACGAGATATCATCTCACGCCAGTTAGAATGGCGATCATTAAAAAGTCAGGAAACAACAGGTGCTGGAGAGGATGTGGAGAAATAGGAACCCTTTTACACTGTTGGTGGGAGTGTAAATTAGTTCAACCATTGTGAAAAACAGTGTGGTGATTCCTCAGGGATCTAGAACCAGTAATACCATTTGATCCAGCAATACCATTACCGAGTATACACCCAAAGGATTAGAAATCATTCTGCTATAAAGACACATGCACATGTATGTTTATTGCAGCACTGTTCACAATAGCAAAGACTTGGGACCAACCAAAATGCCCATCAATGATAGACTGAATAAAGAAAATGTGGCACATTTACACCATGGAATACCATGCAGCCATAAAAAAGGATGAGTTTATGTCTTTTGCAGGGACATAGATGAAGCTGGAAACCACCATTCTCAGCAAACTAACACAGGAACAGAAAAGCAAACATCACATGTTCTCACTCATAAGTGGGAGTTGAACAATGAGAACACATAGACACAGGGAAGGGAATATCATACACCAGGGCCTACCGAGGGGAGGGGGCCTGGGGGAGAGATAGCATTAGGAGAAATACCTAATGTAGATGATGGGTTGATAGGTGCAGCAAACCACTGTGGAATGTGTATACCTATGTAACAAACCTGTACATTCTGCACATGTACTCCAGACCTTAAAGTAATAAATAAATAAATAAATAAATAAAAATAAATAAAATAGAAAGACAAGATATTGCAAAAAATTTCTTAGCATTGTCAACAACATATACAGTAGTGAGGAATAAAATGCACACCTAAAACAGTGGTTACAATATGAAAATGTCTCCTAAGCATGACCAGTCTGGAATAGAACCTTCTCTTCATTCTCACTGCCTTCTGCTCCATGGCCTCTAACCCACTGAAGGAACGTGGTGGTGTGTTGCTCCTGGGGTCACTTCTAGAGCTAGTCTAACAGCTTTTGTTTCAAAGAGTCATTTCCAGAAGGCGTTTGCTTTCTATGATTTTTTTAAAAGAACAAATGGGCATTTACAAGACATGTGATTTTATTTATTTATTTATTTATTTATTTATTTATTTATTTAAGATGGAGTTTCACTCTTGTTGCCCAGGCTGAAGTGCAATGGCGCGATCTCGGCTCACAGCAATCTCCGTGTCCTGGGTTCAAGCGATTCTCCTGACTCAGCTTCCCAAGTAGCTGGGATTACAAGCATGTGCCACCATGCCCGGCTAATTTTGTATTTTCAGTAGAGATGGGGTTTCCCCATGTTGGTCAGGCTGGTCTCGGACTCTGGACCTCAGGTGATCCACCCGCCTTGACCTCCCAAAGCGCTGGGATTACAGGTGTGAGCCACCACACTCCGCTGACATGTGATTTTCTAACTATATTATATGTCAGCAACCTCTTTAAATCTAGAATGGCTAGGGGGAACAAAATTTTTTTTTTAAAAGGTTGAGGGAAAAGTTGAGAGTAGCTTTTTCATATTATTTACCTGGGCCTTCTGTGAAGGCCAGTAAATCCTCCCAAATGGTGGTAGACATTTCCAATCCACCAAATGTGGCATGCGATTTCTCTCTTTGGATATCAAGGTCTGGTTGAACAAAGAGCAACCACCCAATGGCCTACTAACCACTCCACCTGTCCCTGTGGGGGCTCTGCTCACCTTCCAGGCCCTTTTAGGCCTTTGTCTGTCATTTCCGGTGGTTTTGGGAAGAGGTAAGGTCTTGTCTAACTGGGACAAAGTGGCCAGCCCGGGACCTGTATCTGTGCAACTCTATGGCATAATGAAGTTCCTGAGTTTGTGTCTCTAGGCCCGCCTTCTTGGGTTCTTCCAACTACTGCAGCCCTCAGTGCCTTCTGGTGGCTGCCATTCTTCTCCCTCTGCCACATCCATTTCCTCCCAAAGGCACGGTGTCCTCCGCAGCTCGGTGAGGGCTTCGCCAAGGCTCAGGAGGATTTTTAGATGTTCTAAGGTGCTTTATAGCCCAGCGAGGTCTGGGCTCAGAGAGGCTGCTGCCATCAGCTCACTGAAGTGGGGAGGGAAAGAGGTTCGCAGGTCCCCAGCTCATCCTCCTCACCGTGCGCTGCTTCTCACCACATTGTCTGCCTGAACTCTAAATGTCTTTCTACTGAACATTTTTGGATTGTTTTATGACGAGATCGAAGACCACGTGGTGGCCATCAAGCAGATCATCCAGAGGCAAAACTCCTTATCTGAGGAATTCAGAAATAATTATTAATCGACATCCCTATTATCAAAAGCAGATGTGTAGTACCAGGCTCCTTTCCCAAAAATGTATAAGTAACTAGAATTTCTATACATCTCTGGAATGTGTGTATATTGAAACCTATTGTGCAGCCCTTGCTGACATCAAGGCACCAAAATGTCTACAAATGTAATCATTTATTCTGACCTAGGGGCTAATATGGTCTAAATTACCCTTAAGCTCCTGCTTTAAGGTTCATAAATGCTCCTAAGGAAAAATCCACTGTGGCTTGCTCAGTCCACTCTTGCTGAAGTGCCCTGCTGCACTCCTCTGCAGCTTTGTTTCTGATAAAGCTTTCCTTTTCAAACCCACACTGCTGTGGGTAAATTCTTCTTATTACCATGAGCCAATCACTTTCTGTTGCTGTGGCGCTGACACCTAGCCCAGCATTTCTGTTTGCCAGACTGATTTTTGACTGACAACACATCTGTGTAAATTCAAGTCCTTGAAACAGAGCTTCTGAGGCTTGAAGTCAGACCATTTGAATACATCTATTATCAGTTGGGAATTTGCTTAAGCATTTTTTTCATTGATTACACACTTCTACTGTATTTCACTCAAATCTACTGCTATGGTTCCTCTATGACATTCATCTCCTTATGAAATCATGGTGATGTGGCCTGGACCTGTGTCCCTACCCAAATCTCATGTTCAATTGTAATCCTCAGCATTGGAGGTGGGGCCTGGTGGGAGGTGGTTGGATCACTGGGATGGACCTTTCATGAATGGTTTAGCACCACTCCTTTGGTTCTGTTCTTGAAATAATGAGTGAGTTCTTGTGAGATCTGGTTGTTTAAAAGTGTGTGGCACCTTCCCGCACTCTCTCTCGCTCCTGTTTTTGCCATGTAAGATGCCGTGCTTCAGCTTTGCCTTTCACCATGATTGGAAGCTTCCCAAGGCTCCCAGAAGCAGAAGCCTCTATGCTTTTTGTACAGTCTGCAGAACCGTGAGTCAATTAAACCTCTTTTCTTTATAACGTATCCAATAACGTATCCAGACTCAGGTATCTCCTTCTAGCAATGCCACAATAGACTAATACACCAGGTGTGGAAAATAGATTCCCTCAAAAGAATGCAGGGTGGTTACAATACTAAGGACAAGGTTTCCTTGGAAAAAGTAAAGAAATTTAGGGACAGTGAAACTGCTCACTCTATATTTCTGCTTAGACTTCAGGTAGACTCAGTTAGATGAATGGGCCAAAACAACCAGGAAAAGGAGGAAGATGCAGCTTGATCACAGAGATCTGACACAGCGTAAGAGGGAAAAGGAGGAGAGCCTTTGTATAGACCCAAATAATATCCAGATCTAAATCTGCTTCCCAAGTTTAGAGTTTGTTAATATTTACACCTTGCTGCAGGACCATGTAGCTGCTGTTTCTGAATTCAGGGAGAGTGAATGTTCCAGGAAGCATAATGGAAGGCTTCCAGGTTCAAAGATAAATGTTAGTGGGTTGACAGATAAACGGCATCCTTCTTACCAAGTCTGTCCTGGGAACATCCAGAGATTTTTATTATAAGTTGACTAGACAAGAATAGTGAGAGTAAACAGCATTTGTTTTAGCTACCGTGACTTCAGTACTACTGTGAAAGGAGAATCTGTGAAGATTGGAGTTTTTTCCTCATGCTGATCCCGGAAGTGCTTCACTGATACTTTGTCTGTCTGCTTAGGTCAGTGTTCTCAAAGATTATTTTGCAAATGTGTACAATACTGGCTGTATCACAAACACCTGAGGAGATTTTTAACTTCCAGGACCTTGATTCTGAACATTTTGATTCTGTAAGTGGACAGATCTCCAAATCTGTATTTTAAAGATGACCACCAACTAACTCTTACATGAAGAGAAGTGTCATCCTTGCTATGATTCTATACATCAGCAGACGTGTCTCTACCAATCCTGGAAGCTGAGATGGAGCTTATTCTTTGGTCTTTTGAGGCAAATCCAAATTATTTAAGCATCTTATCCTGTGGTAAAAATAACTATTGGTCAACAGTATTCGTGGATGGACATAGGTAGAGGGTATATAATCAAGGCTAAATATCCATTAAAAGTTTAATATCACAACATTTTGCCTCATGCACATAGGCCAGTCACATTATCTGGGAATCATTTCTTCTCCTACAGGAGAAGAAAGTGATGCCAGCTAATTTTATAGGGATTCAATGACTTTAATTACTATATTTTTCATTACTAAGAGTTATATGTTCTTTACTTTTTAATCAATATATATATACAAGATAGAATTTCATTTTTTCTTTGAAAAGAATTTATTGTGTTTCTGTAATTGATGCCTTAAATGTGAAGCAATATGATATTTCAAGTAGTAGCAATTCCTTAACCAAAGACCATTCATTTGTTCATGCATTTGTGTATTTAAGAAGTATTTCCTAACCACCTGCTGAGTGTATGACATTGTACTAGGTATGGGAATACAGCAGTGAAAAAAAGCTTGTCTCTGTCATCTCAAATAATCTACTAATAATTAAACATGTGCTACTGACATTCTTCCAGTTTTACCCTAAAAACCTGCTTATATGATATTTTAGTGGATCATGGGGTGGGCAAAGATGGCTACATAAGAAAAAGTAAAATGAATTATTCTCAGAAATGTCATGGTATGAAAAGAACTTGCAAGTCAGACAGTGTGCTGTAAGAAATAGGATTATAAAAAAGACCAACTATTCTTTAGATATACAAAGAACTATCAGACAGCTAACAGGTGTCTTAGAAAAAAAAAAAAAAGCCGGAAGTGAAGATACAGAATGGACTTTTGAGAGAACAGTCAACAATCTTTTGAATTTACGATCTTGCCCACAAGGGGGTGCATCTTCCTAACACATTCACATTTCCTGCTGATAGTCATCCCTTCAGTGTGACCTTAACCTTTCCTCACACTAAGAAGACAAGACCCAAGGACACCAGAGGGTCTAAAAATGAACTCTTTTCCAGGACAAGCGATTGCACTATTCTTAATGTTTGGTAAGTAAAATGACACTTAAAACTTAGAATCTTTTGTTCCATTATGTTGATGTAATATGTAACCACAGTTTTCTCTAAGGGGTACAGCTCAGATCATGTCTAAGGTAACTTGGTATAACTTATTTTATTTTACTTTTTTCAGGGGGAATCAATGGAGATTCAGTGGTCCAGACAGAAGGCCAAGTGCTCCTCTCTGAAGGGAATTCCCTGATTGTGAACTGCTCCTATGAAAGCACACAGTACCCTTCCCTTTTCTGGTATGTCCAATATCCTGGAGAAGGTCCACAGCTCCTCCTGAAAGCCATGAAGGACAATGACAAGGAAAGCAACAAAGGTTTTGAAGCCACATACCGCAAAGAAACCACTTCTTTCCACTTGGAGAAAGACTCAGTTCAAGAGTCAGACTCAGCTGTGTACTTCTGTGCTCTGAGTGACACAGTGACAGGGACTGCAGGGGAAGCTGAGCACAAACTCTGAGCAGCACGAGGGGCCCGGCTGCTGAGTGTCAGCCACTGTGATCCACTCTGGTTAGGCACCAGGAACTACTCTACTATTGTTGTTGCCCACCACTCAGCCCAGGCACTCTTAGTGTGAAAGCCATCTAAATAAACTCTAAAACACGATAGAATAACTAAAAGTAGAAATGCCTCACACCAGATACTTTAACAATGAGAGTGAAAACAGAATGACACCATAGTTCTTCAACCTTGTTTGAAATTTGTGATTTAAAAAGTATACAACCTTGAGATAAATGAAATGGTCTAGCTGTTCATCCCTGTATAAAATGTAGCCTCCTGACCTTGTCTCAGGCCATCCAAGGAAATAGCATGTTTACAGACACAGATGTGACAGATGAGGTTGCAAATGCTTACTATGTACCTGAATGGGGTATACATTCAGCTGGGGCAAAATGGGGTGATTTCTTAGGAAAGCTTCTGCCCAAGAAATAATAGGTTCTTAAAGAAAAAAAGAATTATAAATGGAAGAAGTCAAATTCTTCTTGTTTGCAGATTGTATGATTTTATATTTGGAAAAACCTAAAGACTCCACAAAAAAACCTTAGAACTAAAAATTCAGTAAAGTTGCAAGACACAGAATCAACATACAAAAATCAGTAGTGTTTCTATATGTCAACAGTAAACAATCTGAAAAAGAAATAAAAAAGTAATCCTATTTATGATAGCCACGAATGAAATTAAATAACTAGGGATTAACTTAATCGAAGAAGTGAAGATCTCTATAATAAAAAGTATAAAACACTGATGAAAGAAATTGAAGAGGACACCAAAAAAATACTCCATGTTCATGGACTGTAAGTATTAATATTGATAAAATATCCATACTACCCCAAACAGTCTACAGATTCAGTACAATCCCTATCAAAATACCAATGACATTCTTCACAGAAATAGAAAAAATATCCTAAAATTTATATAGAACCACAAAAGATGCAGAATAGCCAAAGTTATCATTAAAAAAAGAACAAAACTGGAAGAATAATATTACCTGACTTTAAAGTGTGCTACAGAGCTATGGTAACCAAAACAGCACGGTACTGGCATAAAATCAGATACATAGACCAATGGAACAGAATAGAGAACTCAGAAACAAATTCACACATCTACAGTGAACTCATTTTTGACAAAGGTGCCAAGAACATACACTGGGGAAATGACAGTCTCTTCCACAAATGGTGCTGGAAAAACTGGATATCCATGTGCAGAAGGATGAAACTAGACCACTGTCTTTCACCATATACAAAAATAAAATAAAAATGGATTGAAGTCTTAAATTTAAGATCACAAACTCTGGAAATACTTCAAGAAAACACTGGGGAAAATCTCCAGGACATTGGTTTGGGCAAAAATTTCTTGAGCCACAACCCACAAGCGCAGGCAATCAAAGTAAAAAGGGGCAAATGTGATCACATCAAGTTAAAACACTCTACACAGCAAAAGATACAATCAACAAAGTGAAAAGACAATACACAGAGTGGTGAAAAATATTTGCAAACTACCCATCTGACAAGGGATTAATAACTAGAATTATGAGGAACTCAAACAACTCTATAGGAAAAGATGAATAATCTGTTTAAAAAAATAAGCAGAAGATTTGCATAGGCATTTCTCAAAAGAAGATGTACAAATTGTAAATGGGCATATGAAAAGCTTTTTGACATCATTGACCATCAGAGAAATGCAAATCAAAACTAAAACGAGATAGCATCTTATCCCAGTTAAAATGTTTTATATCCAAAAGACAGGCAATAACAAATGCTGGCGAGGATGTGAGGAAAAGGGAACCCTCATACACTATTGATTGGAATGTAAAATAGTACAATCACTATGGAGAACAGTTTTAGTTTCCTCAAAAAAATAAAAATAGAGCTACTATGTGATATAGTTGGGTATATACCCAAAGAAAGGAAATTAGTATATCAAGGAGATATCTGTACCCCCCATTTGTTGTGGCACTGTTCATAATAGCTAAGATTTGGAAGCAACCTAAGTGTTCATGAGTCAATGAATGGATAAAGAAAATGTGGTACATATATGCAAAAGTACCATTCAGCCATAAAAAAGAATGAGATTCTGTCATTTGCAACTACATGGATGAAACTAGAGATCATTATGCTAAGTGAAATAAGCCAGGCACAGAAAGACAAACATCACATGTTCTTACTTATTTGTGGGATCTAAAAATCAAAACAATTGAAATCAGGAACATAGAGAGTAGGAGGGTGGTCTGAGTTTGCAAAGGGAGTGGGGTGGCGGGGGGAGATGGGGATGGTTAATGAGTACCAAAAATTAGAAAGAATAAGACCCACCATTTGATAGCACAACAGGGTGACTATAGTCAATAATAATTGTACATATAAAAATAACAAAGTGTGTAATTGAATTGTTTGTAACACAAAGGATAAATGCTTGAAGAGAAGGACACCCTATTCTCCATGATGTGACTACTTCACATTGCATACCTGTATCAAAACAGCTCATGTACTACATGATATATATACCTAGCATGCACCTATAAAAAGTAAAAATAAAAATCAGTAAAAATTTAAAAATCATTAATATTAAAGAAATATAAGAAATAATGGAAGAGGAGAGAGTAGAACATGTGACCACATATATGGAAAAAGAAGATGGAACATTTCTTAGTTTCTATTTTGGGAAATTACATGACATGCATAGACTGGTTTTGCCCAAAAATGTGACTAATCCCTAAAAAATATGACTCATGGCCAGGCATGGTGGCTCACGCCTGTAATCCCAGCATTTTGGCAGGCGGAGGTGGGTGGATTACCTGAGGTCAGGAGTTTGAGACCAGGCTGGTAAACTCCGTCTCTACTAAAAATACAAAAATTAGCTGGGCATGGTGGCGGGTGTCTGTAATCCCATCTACTCGGGAGGCTGAGGCAAGAGAATCGCTTGAACTTGGGAGACAGATGTTGCAGTGAGCTGAGACTGTGCCATTGCACTTCAGCCTGGGCAATAGAGTGATATTCTGTCTTAAAAAAATGACTTATGCCTAAAAGATACCTTGCTGAGATATTATGGCAATAGAGACTTCTAGTTTCCATGATATCTCAGCAAGATGGCTTTTTCTCACTAAGACATTACTTAAGATGAATAGGTAGTGTTCAGGGTCTGAAGATGAAAACTATTGAGATGAAACTTTTTCTATGTAGATTGGTGTGAGAAAGGAATCTTATAGCTTCCCCAATGTCTTTCAAGCCATTTCTTCTACAGAAGGGGAGTAATAGATGGAGCAGTAGATGGTGGCCAGGGCTATGAGAAGATAAAGAATGGCAAAAGGAAGAAGTTTTTGATTTAATTGCAGCTATCTTGGCATCTTTGCAAATATTGGAGATTTTCTTTTGCTTGTCTATTGAAGGTGTTTAACACATATCAGTCAGTTTATTGACCCATAAGGAGTACATTTTTGCTCTTTATAAGTGTCCTTATGCACAAAAACTGAGAGTAAGAGAATGGTATGCAAGATCCCCTGTTTCACAGGCTACAAAGAAATTGAACTATTCAGATTACTGATATAATAATTGACACTGAAGATACCTTGATTTGAATATTTCATTTTTCATGATCATCCTGCTTCAGTTTCTCTCTTACCTTTTAATTTTATTCCAGAGGACTCAATTTAGATCTTATTAGTTAGCTGAGCTAATAACTATACAAAATAAATAATTTATGTACATGGGAAAAATAACTTTAGATCGTTCAAATGACTATGCAAAATGTCTCTGACTTTTGGCTACCACATGGCCAGGCTGCAAATTTTCCAAACTTTTATGCTCTGCTTTCATTTTAAATATAAGTTCCAGTTTCAGGTCCTTTCTTTGCTCACACATATAAGCATAGGCTGTTACAAGCAGCCAGGCCACATCTTAAACACTTTGCTGCTTAGAAATTTCTTCTGCCAGATACCCTAAATCATTACTCTCAAGTTCAAAGTTCCACAGATCCCTAGGGCAGAGAGACAATGTGGCCAAGCTCTTTGTTGAAGCATAACAAAAGTGACCTTTGCTTCAATTATCAAGAAGTTCTTCACTTCCATCTGACATCTCATCAGTCTGGACTTTGCAGTCCATGTCACTATCAGCATTTTGGTCACAGCCATTCGACAAGTATCTAGGAAATTCCAAACTCTCCCCCATCTTCCTGTCTTCTTCTGAGCCCTCCAAACTGTTTCAACCTCTACCTGTTACACAGTTACAAAGTCGCTTCCACATTTTTTTGTTATCTTTTCAGGAGTACCCCACTCCTGGTATCAGTTTACTGTATTAATCTGTTTTCACACTGCTGATAAAGACATACCCAAGACTGGGAAATTTACAAAAGAAAGAGGTTTAATTGGACTTATAGTTCCACGTGGCTGGAAAAGCCTCACAATCATGGCAGAAGGCAAGGAAGAGCAAGTTATGTCTTACACGGATGGCAGCAGGCAAAGAGAACTTGTGCAGGAAAACTTACCCTTATAATAACCATCAGATCTTGTGAGACTTACTATTATGAGAACGGCATGGGAAAGACCTGCCCCCATAATTCAATTTCCTTCCACTGGGCCCCTCTTACAACATGTGGGAATTCAAGATGAGATTTGGGTGGGGACACAACCAAACCATATCAACTTCTTTGCTTACTAATATGCACTTAAGGTTTCTAAGTGTTTTTCATGTCTTGATAGCTTATTTATTTTTAGTAGTGAATAATATTCCATTGTCTGGATATACTACATTTTATTTATCCATTTACCTCCTGAAGGGCATCTTGGTTGCTTCCAAGTTTTGGCAATTATGAATATAGCTGGTATAAATATCTCTTTGCAGGTTTTGGTGTAGAAATAAGTTGTAACTACTTTGTGTAATTACCAAGGAGCACAACTGCTGGACTGTATGGCAAGACTATGTTTAGTTTTGTAAGAAGCTGCCAAACTGTCTCTTAAAGTGGCTGTACCATTTTGCATTCTCACCAGGAATAAATGAGGTTTCCCACCGTTCCACATGCTCACCAGCATTTGGTGTTGTCAGAGGTCTGGAACTTGGGCATTGGAATAGATGTGTCAGGGTATCTCATTGTTTTAATTTGCATTTTCCCAGTGGCATATGATATGAAGCATCTTTTCATATGTTCATTTGCCATTTGTGTATCTTCTTTGGTGAGGTGTCTGTCAAGGTCTTTGGTCCATTTTTAAATCAGGTCGTTTGTTTTCTTATTATTGAATTTTACGGCTTCTTGTATATTTTGGATAGCAATCCTTTTTTGTTTTTGCAATTATTTTCTCCCACTCTC